AAAAAAGATATTTATGAAAATCTCAAAATATCAAATACTAAAAGTTGAGAAGGAAAAGATCCAAGCGTATTGTGCGATATCCCCGATCGGTAATCCACAGAAGACCATAGCGACGTCGTCTTCTCATACGTCAAACAAGTACTATCAAATTATCTAGACCGACATCGGGTACTTCCGCTAGTTCCAAATACACATCAAATAAATATGAGATAGAACCAATGGAGATTGTGTTAAGCGGTAATTAGCATTTCCGACGGTCACGTCAGATTTTCTTTGAATAATATGACTGAAGCGCCTTTTTGAGTTTGCTTTCGTATAACATCCATGATAATTTTCTGAAGAGCGAGGCAACATTCCTTTGAGTACTATTATTTATACAGATTTCGAAACAATGAAATCTGAATTGTACAGCACTGAGCCTTTTATGCGACCATTTTATCTTCAAGGTTAAACCAAGTCGGATAGCGAAGTTTTTTTGAATCAGTTTAAGCACTAATTACCGCTTAAGACAATCTCCATTGCTTCTACCTCATATCTAATTTGATGTTTATTTGGAATATAGAACTGAGAGACAATGTATCCCTTTTGAGAAACGCAATTTCTTCCCAGAATACTCGTTTGTTAAAAGCAATCGCTCATTAAGGCACCCCCCCGTCAGAAAGATAATTTTTTTATAATAGATCGATATTGAGCTAAGCACATAATCAGATAGTCCATAGTATCTACTAGCAGGATTCAGTGCTATTTAGTCCTCATCGAAGGGGTGTGCAGGTTTTTAGAAAGTTTTCTAAAAACGTTGAAAAACTGGATTTCGAAAACGTTTTGCTTTCCGATTAAAAACCAAATCGAATACCACTTTTAGTAATACTAGTAAACAGAGCAAACATTTCTGATCAGAATGAGATATTTTTCGGTTCTGAATGATGTTCTGATCAAGAGTTATGAGAGTTTTGCTGGAAGCCCTAAAACATGCATTAGATGCTGGCGTCACCATATCTCGAAAGCGACGTTCACCTCAACACCATTTCGTAGCTCCAATATTTCTCGGTAACGAAATATTGCAGAGAGCTCCGGAAGGTCTTAAATTGAAGCTGACACGTGTGGCTAGAGGCTAATAGAGCTTGATTTTTTATATTCGGTCTAGATTTGTGATTAGCAAAACATCTTTGTCAAAGTCAATGAGACTTTTTCGAATTTTGATGCTAACCATTAATTTGAAAAGAAAAATATCCAAAATTCGGCTTTATTAGTCTGTAGCCACATGTGTTTTTGTCGATTTCAGACCATCCCAAGCTCTCCACAACGTTCCGTTACTGAGAAATCTTGGAGCTACGAACAGCCCCATTTTGATCACTGTTGTGGCGACATCTCACAAACCATACACGATGGAGCCAAAGAAAAAATTTCGTCATCCTACTTTTACAAGATCAGCATCTTCTAAAAGTTTGATCAAGATTCGACTTATAATTTCAGAGATAAGTGTCTGACGAGGGGGCGGGGGAATATATTGTAAAATATGGATTTGTATCTCTTATGAGAATATATATTGTATCTCTTTTGAGAGGTAGTCTTGTTCACTTTTTGAATTTTGACACAGTACTATATTAACGTTCTTTTTGTGTCGTTTACATAGCTTGCTATTTTTATATTTTTGGTCGGTACTAAAGCAACAAAAAGAACAAAAAATAACTTTTTTATCTCAATGCATAGAGTCAAGAGAAATTTCACATTTTAGCCTTTGAAAAACTGCTCTAACAATATTTTCCTATTCACTCCCATCAAGAAAATACTTTGCAACAAACAAGCATTGTATAACAATAGCACAAAGTACTGTCACATATACGGTATGACTTTGTAAGAAAAAATACTTTTCTAATTCAGTAGTTTACGTTTCACTACCTTGAAATGTAGGTATAGGCAAAGAGTACTCGGCTGTTACGCATGGTGTGAGCTTAAGAAGAACGTTAGAAAAAACGTGCTTGCTATTTCACTATACATGTACATGCGCCATTCTCCTTGATTTCAAAACTGTATTAATACGTTTCATTTACGTTGCTGAAAACTCTACCATGAGTATTGGACAACTTACCGTTACAGTCGTTGAAGCTGAAGGACTTCATGATGAAGATACTGTTGGTAAAAATGATGCTTATGTAGAATTATATCTTGATAAAGATTATAAACAGCGAACCTCAACGAAAAGTAATTCTAATTCGCCAGTATGGGACGAAACACTTATATTGTACGTAAATTCTTTTTTTCAAAAGATAAAAATTTTCTTTTATATAGTCGAGTTTGAATTTTTAGTAATGTACAAGAAGGTCAACATACACTCCATTTGCATGTCTATGATGAGGATATTGGTGATCGAGACTCAGTTGGCTCAGTTAAAATTGATTTGAGACCGGTTATGGAAGGAGCAGCGTTTGATCAATGGGTGAAGCTTCCAGCACATTTTGGATTAGGCTCACATGGTAAAGTGCACGTGAAGATGACTTATACAGTAATATGGGAATGAAGACTCATTATAAGAAGAACTGATTTGTTTTTCACATTTTATCTGTCAGTATAAAATATTCAACATACTGCATACAACATATCAGTGAGACCTACACTTCTAATTATTTAATTGAAATTACATAAAATATTTAGTTATGTAGCATGATAATTTCTCATATTTAATAAATAAATGTTGAAGAAGGAACTGAAAATCTGATATAAGCAACGCAAATGCGTTTGTGATAGTTTCGTTTACATATTAAAACGTATTCAGTTTGTCGCTGCTGTCATTTGCGAAGTTCAATTAAATAAATGAGTCCATATGATTTCACGATCGATATTGCGATTAGGATTAGGAGTGGCAGTCTTCTGGGTCTGTTCTTTTGAACGAGAACTTATCGCTCGTTTGTCAAACGTGCTCTAATCGGTTACCAGTTCTTTTTAAATCTTCAAATTTTTAATATGACTTCAACATCGACCGATATAGGAGCAAATACATGATTAATTGTTTTATGTACATGTATAGCAGATCCATATTATTTTTTGAGAAAGACCGTATCGATACACTGTATAGTCAAAGACATTAGTTTCTGCACCTGACACCAAATCGAATGACGTCCATTTCTATCCTATCCGTCGACTTTAGCTGTTTTCTAATTTTCACCTCGAAAAATTACTAAGATTATCACTAAAAACAGAAAATCAACTACAAGTTTCGAAACATGTATCATAGTTTTTGACATTGATTGCGAATATGATATTTTTATTGCATAGACGTTGAGCCCCGATGGTAATAACCGACAATTACGAGCAGAATTCCGATGTTTTCGAGAAGTTTCCCTATGAGTACAAAATTTTAAATCAATCATCTATGCATATTCTTGTTGAACTTTTTGCAGCCTATTGCACTATAAACGGCGTGTGGCAAGTTTTATTTGAGGCGAAAAAGTCAAAACAAGCTGAATAGTGCTATTTTTTTGCATCTTATTTGAATTGTTATGGATATATCTACTTCATCCGAAAAGTTTAAATCAATTTTTTATATATACTCTTCAAGGATTTCTCACGCGCTATCCAGCCCACCCAGGCGTAAAAAAAAATCTAGTATCGTCGGATTCATCTAGATTACTAGATTTTTACTCGATTGTAACTATTGGGTAGCGACGGTGGAAATCTAGTAATCGGGCGATTGCTAGATTTCTTCTAGTTGCAACTATTAGGTTATCACCCGATAATCGATCGATTGCTATTGCTAGTTACACACGCAGACACATCTAGTTAACCCTTTACCCCCTCTTGGTCACTGGAGTGACCATTTGTAGAACAATTGCAGAAACTAAAGGAAACATCGGATTCAAAAACCATAAGAACCTTTTTTGTAGCAAACTTCATGGGCAATTGCTTGGTAAAAAGAACATTTCTCTTCATTGCTTCGTTACAGAAATATCGGGCCTACAAAATCAATAATTTTGAAAAATGAAAAAAATCGAAAATTTTGAAACAAAATGTTCTCTACTCGTAGCCAACAGAGATCTTGT